TACGATATGAGATACGACCACTAACGACAACGTTCCTGGCGTGGACAAACACACACGTTTAAGAAAAGGTAACGGGGTTAAACACAAGTTTTTGTTTATTTCAGCCATCCCCCTTTTATCTTACAACATTCCTAGAAGAGATAAAGGAAAAGTTGCATCTAAGAATTAACCCCGTCGCCTCAACGTACGTACGGGTTTCACTCAGTCCCAACGAGGGCTAAGTTCCCAACAGAACTAGACTGTATTTACTAGACTGCGGTTAGAAGACAAATCTTATCATGCAATGTTATATTATGTAAAAATTATTTAATGAAAAAGGTATGATAAAAAACGGATAATTTCAAAGTTTTGCAAAATTATGGTTTGTTATCAGGAAAAATCCATGATAAAGACTCATTTCATGATTGAGTCGTTGTTTAAAATTTTTTGGTACTATTTAATCATAATCTGTGCAGATCACAACTTCAAAAAAGACGAAAAATGCCAAAAACCCCACAAACGTATATAATACGTATATAACGATCCAGATTTTTGTCAATACCTTCTCTGAAGAAATTTTGCAAATTGTGTACTATATAAGGTTTTCAAACCCATTACATCGTATGCTAACTTCTGAAAGAACTAGCTTGTTTTGTTTCGTATTATGATTGGAAAACGATTTTTTCGTGTTTTTGTTTTACTTTTGCTTTTCGCATCGTTTTGGGGTTTTTGGGGGGTTTTTTTAAGAAAAGGGGGGTGCCGTGAAATAGATTGTTTTCGTGATAAACATCAGCTATAAAATGCGATCATAATTATTTTCAATGTTTTAGTAAATAGGTAACAACTTTTTGACACATAAACATTAAATATGAATAAAAGAAGATACAAGGCATACATCAATAAAACAGCAGCCCAACAACATATATACAACTGAACGACATAAAGTTCGCTGTTTTTACTTTATTAGATTGTCAGTTCAAATATACACCACTTTTCACGTGCAAGGAGTGGTGTTTTTTTAAATTATGACGTGTTTTAGCAACAAAAAAAATCTAATTTTAGCGCGCGACTTTTTTCAGCGCAGGCCTACGTAAAATAGGCAAGTTACAGTCTTGTGCAATATCGTCAATCTGAGTAGATGTACATTTTATATCACAGTATGGCATCGACAACAGACGAAAAAACAGCATAATTTCATCGTAAACGATTAAAACTGCTAAAGTCTAAGTCAGAGTCATACTGGTATAACCATTCCATGATTGTAAAAACAAGTCGTAAGTCGAAGTTGGCGTCAGTATGGCAGATGTAACGGAACTGTAGAGAAACAATCCACTGAGTTAATCATGCAGAGAGGAAGTCAATGTAATCAATCGTCTAATGAAGAAAACATGGAGAGGATCTGAGAAATCGGTCTACACTGCAGTGTAAGAGGAAGAATCAAATGTTAACACTGCTGAAGAAGCAGTTAAAGTGATAACACCCAGACAGAAATTACAAAACAAAGACAATTGCATATTGAAAACGGCTCTTTTTAGAGTCACATAATCATTTCAAAAAGATTCTGAATATTGTTGAATTAAAAACATATAACTACGTAAGAAAGACAGAGTTTTTTGTTCATTTTCTTCAATCTTTTTTAAGTTTTCGCTTATCTTTATTTTTCTCCAGAAAATGAGTAAGACTTACGTATAGTGTGAAGGGATATCTGCGCCGCTAATTTCCAAAAATAGTTTGTGTGGTAATTCTTTATTTTTCGCTTGACACTCAGAAGATATAAAAGCACAAATTCGGGCCCGGTCACAAAGAACATACAAGAAAGTAGTACATATGTTAAACAAAATAGTTCCTACGCATAGCTGTAACTTTGCCAAAAAGTAAACAAAAAGAGGGTTATTTTGGTGTCAAATGAAAGCTCCAGGACTTGGGATCACTGTAGAACCCTTGATGAAAGTTTCTCATGAATAATAAAATAAATATATGAAACTTTGATAGGGGTCATATTTGCCCTGTTACTGAGGATAGAAGTACCTGTTTTTATACTTCCAAACTTTCGGGAACCAGTTCGCTGTAATATGCAATTTAAGATATGTTGAATTTTTCAGCACAGTCAAGTCGGGATATGTATGAAAATAAGGAGATGTGGTATGATTGCCAATGAGACAACTATCCACCAAATTTTAAATGAAGTCGATGAAAGCAATTATAGGCAACCGTACGGTCTTCAACAATGAAAAAAACCCATACCGTATAGTCGGCTACAAAAGGCCCCAACATGAAAAATATAAAACAATTCAATTAGGAAAACTAAAGGCCTAATTTAACGTATAGTTTTGCTATGAAATGAGTGCTACTTTATTTGAACTAAAGACAAAAATAGCTTCAAATGCTTAAAATTGCACAATTTAACATAGAAGGCTATGTATTAGTGGTTTTATTCCAGAAAACACATTTGAAGCAAGTGCGTGTCTGCGTTTCTGTAAAATTCGTTCTTTCTTCACTCAAAAATAACCAAAACAGCAAATATTTAAGTAGAATAGACACATGCGCAATATCTTTACGATTTGATTTTCTGACACAATGGCTTTAAATATCATGAAATATTTGTCACTGGACGTTAAACCAAAAAAATCAAAAAAGCAATCCGCTATATTTGAAACAAAGCAAAACTGGCAGTGCTATCAGATTTATATGATAATATTTTTTTGCAGTCATCAGTGCACTCAGAAAATAAAGCTGCATGAATAAAAGGAGATGTGAAGTATACGGCTATAAGACAGCAACCCAACTACATAAATAACCTAAAGACATCTAAAGGGTGACGTGAAATCTTCAACAATAGACAGGTGTCCTAACAATATGTCATATAAGTGCTATCAGATTTATATATTTTTTTTTCACCTAGCAGTGTACACGGAAAATTAAGAGTGAAGTGGAAGGAGAATCAGATGTGGGTTTTAAAACATTACCACAAAATTCTTGAAACAGAAGATAATTAGAATAGATTATCTACTGATCATTCCAAAAAAGAAAAACAGTACATTTGTCGGATCTTTATTATCCATTGCATCAGCATTACACTCAAATGACCGGTAATTGAAGGGTGTGTACATATAAATAAGGATACAAATAATTGGAAATCTTGTGATCAGTCAAAGAACACGGGGCGTAAATAGAAATGCGAAAAAAGAAACAAGAAACCAGAGATACCATATATATTTTTAGGACGATTAAAGGAAGTTTATAAATGTTTCATTTCCCTGATTCATAGAAATATATGACAGTTATAACATTATTATTCAAAATGTAAATGATCCCAGATATTTTCTTCTTTTTTACTTAGGTGAGATTTATTCAGATCTTGATGTTGAATGCCATCCACATGCAAAAGACAAGATTTTCAACAGTTTATCAGTTGCACAGGGTATCTTTTCTATCAAATAGGAATAATATTTTAACTTACTGTTCTGATAACCTATAGATTCTTCTCATTAACAACTCCCTGTATAAATTTGAATATTTCGAACATTTGCAGTACGCCATTTGACATGGTCTTAAATGAGACTTTGTATAGATCTACAACTTAATGTTCCACTCGGTTTTAATTTTTTTCTTCTTTACCTGACGAAAGAAATTAAATTTAGACTAAAAGAGCGGAAAATAACAAATGTACTAAATTTAATGTGTATATAAAATGTAATTTGGACATTGAGCTATCTTAAAACAGTTATCAATGATCAATTGGTAATTGAATTTCCACGCCACCCCTACAAAATCGCACCCATCCAAACACATATAAGACCATAACAGCAAATTAAAATTAAATGTTGTTATTTGACTAAATGGGTAAGACTTCATTCTCAACGTCACTATTTTGTTTGCCCAAATTTAAATATTAAACAAATATATCAATATCTACCATTTCAAATCTATTGACATATTCTCTTCTATCTTATACTAGTAACACTTTAGTCGAAATATTAAAAAAATAATTAAATCATATTAATCCAATGCAGTTTTTATTATTGCATTAAGTAGAAAGGCCTAACAGACAGACGGGCCTTATTTCCTCTGTATATTTAAACTATTGTAGGGATGAGAATCAAAAGAAGAATTTCTTATACGACATTGAAAGCTGATAGGCACGTAGTAGAATGCTCATTTAATTGTTGTTGAACTTATTGACATTTCTTATCTTGCACACGAGGTTCTTATATATTCGCGTTTTGAATATGTGTGTATTTAAGGTAAGTAAACAACCAAACCACGGAAGTCCAAGCGAGATGCATGTGGCAATGAATCAGACGTATGGATTTTATTATTATTAAGGTTAAGAAAACAATTCACGAGGGCTATGAATTTAGGAAATTAAAGCCATTTTTGTAGAAACAAACTACTAGCATTCCCATAAACAGGCTATATTCAGCAGTTTTTGTATCCTTGCGAGGCCTTTACAAATTTTGTTTTCCATAAGGTTTAATATTTTTATCTAAAGAGGAAATCCTAACAATCATTCTATTGGTATGTATTATGTTCCTTCGCATTTGCAATAATCGTGATGAGTCTTCATGGAAATATATATGATATTAAAAAACTTTAGCCTGTGCCAGTTTTTACGAACCCGAGTGGCCACAAGGGTTTTTGGGCGTCCACAGACCGTGGCACTCTCACTACACGAAGCGTTTGTTTAACGTCCTCATTTTGACCGGACGTGGCTGCGTATTTATACATCCCGCAATGCCAAACGGACGCTACTCTTTAGCATGGATTTTACCGCTAGATGGGAGAAGTTCCGGTAATTATATTCTTATACCACAGTCAACCTGAGGGGTGAATATGTATAAAAGCTCAATTCTTTCTCTAGTTGTGTACTTAGGTTTCAGCCGTGTGCTAATGATTGTTTTCTTACTCCGGGTATTTTTTCAGAAAATAACAAATTTAGCACTTTCTGAAATACCGAAATGCCAAATTTCAACAACTGAAATACCATAATGGATAATCTTTTTTAAACATTTTAGATCCAAATGTGGATAGTGAATGTTATATCAGGTAGGTACTTGATTGTTAGTTACAGAATAAAAGACATTTTGATACATTGTTTACGGTTCATTGTATTTATATTAAATCACAACATCATTGTGTACTGAACTATGTGCTTAAATGCTTAATTTTGATAAAACAAAAACATCTCATGTGGTGCCTTTTCGTACTCGTACGTAGAAGGTGAATTTAATGCATATTTAAAATCCCAAGCGTCAACTATAGATTTCGTGGGTAAAACTTAAATGTACCGGCGGTGCGTTAACGTTATCTATGATGTATCCATTAGATAGTATACACGTAAATAGTTTGAGTTGATACCAACAAATCCTCAACGTTGTCTAATCAGAATTGAAGTTTCAAACACTACTGCTGAAAATCTTCCAGCAAGCTTCGTTTTGAAAAATAACAACAAAAGCCATTTCCCCGTACTATATGACAATGACAGTTGAGTTCAACGGCAATTGCAAGGTCCGTTCGATTCAACTTTTATAGTCATTTCGCAATAAGGTCGATGGTTAACCCCAAGCCGTCACAATTTTCTCCAAGAAAAATACCTAATAGGAAACTGTATAAATAAATAGAAAATTTATTCATACCCAATTTAACAACTTAGCCACAGAAGTTTTTCTCCCAGTTAAATGGAAACATTAATATTATTAACCATTCGATATAAATTGTGTACAAGATAATAAGTACATAACTGGATAGTACTAACGTCAGTTTTAGTCCGTTCATACATTGTAGTGTAGTTTTGTTAATTGTCTATTTCATATTTTATTGTTGGTAAATGTTTGACATTAACTCGTTATATTTATTGTTTTCGTTGCAGTCATCAGTTTTACCAGCATATTGTCTACAACGACCGGTAAGTCAACAAACAATCTGAAGCCCGCCTCCGGGTGCGGGATTTTCTCGCTGTGTTGAAGACCCATTAGTGGCCTTGGGCTGATTTATGCTCTTTGGTTGGGTTGTTGTCTCTTTGACACATTCCCCATTTCCATTCTCAATGTTATTAGTAATACGGTATTCCAAACCTAGACCAGACTGAGCGTTAAAAGGTGATAATACAATTCTGTTTCAAATTTATTCTATAGTTTACTTCTTTCAAATTTTATACTGCACCTAAAAATTTTTATGTTTTTTTTAGTTTAATCAAGTCTGGAGGCAATAGGAAGAATCAACATAAAAAATAGGGTATCAAACATTCCGAGTAATACCTAATGTTTTAAGAGTTTTGGTTCATTTAGAGATTGATCGAAGGCTACAGATTTTTTTCAAATCAACGTTGGATGTTGCTTTTTGTTGTAGACTGTACGCCGACCTCCAGATTTGAATAAATTGAAATGTGGAGTTTATGCAAAGAGACAGCAAACCAACGACGGAAAAATTTAAACATCTAATTAAAAGTTCAAACATACAATCTTCTAAATTAAACATCTAGAGGACAAACATACAGTCTTCTAAAATAAACATCTAGAGGTCAAACATACAGTCTTCTAAAATAAACATCTAGAGGTCAAACATACAGTCTTCTAAAATAAACATCTAGAGGTCAAACATACAGTCTTCTAAAATAAACATCTAGAGGTCAAACATACAGTCTTCTAAAATATAATACAAGTGTTTATACAATGTGTGCATCGTACTGATTCAATATTCATCTGTAATGACGGTTCTGTAATGGTACCAAATATCCCGAAAAATAACTAATGTACATGTCTTAAATTGTTTTGGTCCATCAAGAAATTGTCCTCTGCTGTTCGATTAAAGTTTTGAATAATTTAAACAAAGACTTTCAAAGATTTAAAAATAGTTAAATAATCAGTTGTTTTTTTAAAGGATTGCGATGTTTAACATGTAAAGATGACAGAAGGTTAACCGATTGCTACTGGAGAACACCATCAAGTTGTTCAGATGGTGTAGAGGTAAATAATTTAGTATCTTTATCTTATAAATATGCACTCTACACCCGATATATTTTCTGCTTTAGATAGCGGAGGTAACGACCATACAGGGCTTTCGTTAGATTATACGTTTTACGTCCTTAATTCAGCTCAACAATGGTAGAACTACATTTTGCATCTTATACAGTGTTTAAAAAACGTTAAAGTTCAAATTCAGTTTCTAACTTTAATTTTATGTTTTACTTCTTTCCAAGAGTCATATTACACTCATATTTTTTTTAGGTAATATTTTTAAAAAATAAATCTAGTTATCCATATACGATTTGTAATGATAAAATTGGAACCCTCTATAATATTTTAGAGCTGTTACCTAGAAGTGAGTGTACTGCGGACGTTGGACACAGTATTTAATGCTGGATGTCGTTCTGTTCAGGTATATGATGTATATTTAAGTATTTCAAAGGTCTGATTGTCCCCTTGGTATCTCCTCCTTTTTTCTAATGTAAGTATCCCATCACTCGTTGTTTGTTATAATTTCCGGTACGGTTACGGTCAATCTTTAACTTTTGCATTTGCAAGACATTTGAGCGAATGGAAAACGCTAAAATTGTTATATCTATTTAAAGATGGAACGTCAAACTCACGAAAATTCTGGTTTGCTCGACGATCAATATGAATTTTGTAGGCATAGATTGCGAAAACAGTTGAACCAGATACGTATACATCTGCATTTTATTGTAGAGAGCTATATTTAGTTTCAACACTTTTAAACCTCATAATGCCCATTAGAAAGGCAAATAAATCGAGAAATAAATTTTAGTTTACACGATATTTCATCTCGCATAAATTCTTTTTTAGCAACAGGCAAACCCAGTAAAATTTGCATGCGTAAGTCTGTAAGTATCTATACATTAAATATATCAATAAACAATGTTTTATACATAATAATATGATAATTATTTACAAAGGTTTGTCAATTACTGGATACATTGAACAAAGATAATGTAAATGCAAACACCGCCAGTGTAGACAAGCGATTGTCAAGTCCTTATGCAGGCACTGCATGTGCTCAGTGTTGTTCACAATCAACAACAGACCACCAAATGCCATGTAATACAGCTTTGTGTAACCAAAGTAAGTATTTTATTTCTAAATTATTGGAAGAAAATAACAGTATATATCAAAGCATTGTAAAATACATACTCTACCTTTTTTTGTGAAAAGAGGGAGAAGACACCAGTGGGGCAGTAATAAAAGGTCAAATGTGAGCGGACAACGCCAAAAAGTAAAATGATAAATAGACAAACAACAATCTACAAAACACCACACAGAAAACTAAAGATTGAGCAACACAAACCCCACCAAAAACCAGGGGTGAACTCAGGTGCTCCTATTGTGTAAGCAATCCAGTTCCAATAGAGGCACTCGAAAAAACGACAATAAGTTTGTTCTTTTGATACAAGTAATCATATACCTTTATATATATATTTGATTTGTATTTTTTACTGAAGTATACATTTTCGTTATTAGTATCCGGTAAAGGTTAACCCAGTTATGTTTTTAATTTTGATTCGTACATTGTGTTTGAAGAGTTTATAATGATTACTAAAGAGCTGGATGTACATGTACTGACACTATTAGCGATATAGAAGTTGCTAAACGTTTCTTATTCGTTCCATTGGTTGATAAAGTCTAGCGTTTGATTTTGTCAGTTTTTATGGACTTCTCCTTTTTGAATATATCTTGTAGTTCTGTACTTTTGTTAATACTTCTTTATTGGAATATAACAAATAATTAATGGCATACACTTCAAACCGTTAAATGCTTTCCAAACTGAACAATGAGAAATGAAGCACAACAAATTCAAACCTTGATTTTAAGATTTTCTGAATAGGGATTGGGTACTAAAAGGTAAAATAACAAAAAATACCGAATCCCAAGGAAAACTCAAATTGGAAAGTCCCTTATCAAATGGCAAAATCAAAAGCTCAAACACATCAAACGAATTGAAAACAACTGTCATATTCCTGACTTGGTACAGGCATTTCCTTATGTAAAAAATGGTGGATTAAACCTGGTTTTATAGCTAGCTAAACCTCTCACTTGTATGACAGTCGCATAAAATTCCATTATATTGACAACAATGTGTGAACAAAACAAACAGACATAAAAGGTTAAAATGTCAAAAATAGGGGTACAGCAGTCAACATTATATTATAATCTTAATCACTATAAAGACAAACAAATATGTCAACAAAGAAAAACAAAATGGCATATAGACAAAGCACATAAGCAAAAATGAAAGATAAGAATACAAAAAATGACCACAGCACAACAACACAGTGGCGGGATGCATAAGTACCGCGCAACGCCAAAAGGATATTACCAAAAATTGACTAAACAGTACATGTTAAATAATACTTTACAAAGACAAATAAAAGAACACTATAACACGTAGTTAAGATGATAAGCAACGTCACTACCTAGAATCTATACTTCAAGACCATGATGTATTGTTTGTGAAGTTGATACGGAATATTTTTCAACAGGGTCTTGGTATCTTCCGATGAACTTTTTTTAGAAAAAGGACGAGACGTTCTTTGACATAACCCTGATTCATCAACCTTCTGCTCAGACACTGGTGACGTTTTATAAAGTCTGAGTAGCAGCTGCAAGCTCTTGAATACCAAATGAGTTGGGAAATGTATATCCCATATGCAGGTGAAGTTGGTATATTGCTACTAAGGTGGGGGAAATTGATAATTTCAAAATTAAAATCGTCTCGTTTGTCATAGATTCTTGTACTGAGATGACCGCTTATGTCAAATTCAAGGTATAAGTCTAAAAATGAGGCGGAGGAGGCCGTGTCTGTTGTTTCTTTAATTTCTAGTTCTGGAGGATATATTAATATATTAAACCGACTTACTGTGACCTATTTGTATGTTATAGTTATCAATTATAGTCAAAGTAAAAAATACCACACAGTATAGTTAATTTTTTTACTATTTCTACTTTTAGGACCAAATTTGAGAATTTTCTTCGGTCTGATTGGTAAAAGAAATAGTAAAGAGTAAATAAAAATGTAATCAATAATTCTCGTGTCCATATGTAAAAAAAGGACTACTTGGATATTGTATTTTCCTCTATCGTTATTCTCATGTTTTCTTTCCTTTAACACTTGTGGGTTTAAGGAAAAAAACACTGACATATGAACAATTGGAATATCAAACTGTTATAACAGGAACATGAACATGTAATATTTTACACTGGATTGAATTTATGAAAATGAAAATCAGAGACTCATAGCTTGAGTTAGACGAAGGAACTAATATTATATGCTAGTCAGTAGCTGACTCTGATCGTTTCTTTTAAATTAAATCACAACCTTTTTTATAGACTCCGGCAATTTAGAACTTAACATGTTGTTTATATACCTGTCTGTAACTAGATAGTGTTTTTTGACTTTTGGCTGTTTGTGTCATTCGGTTATCTCATTTACGTTTAATCCACATTCTCTGTTATTGACATATCAGTTGACGTATAACGCTAGTCTGTACGACAAACATGATAATTTCAATGGAGAAATAATATAAAAATAAGTCGGTTATATCTTTAATCTTTGATGGCATGAAAATTATTTTGTGGTCGCTATCAGTTTTTGGTTTAAAAAGAGGAATGTTTAAAATGATTTTAAAAACATTGAAATGTATTTTCTGTCACTCTCCGATTGCCTACAGCAATCAGCACTCAATTCTACTGAAGAAGGAAAGAAAAGTCCACAGTTTAACCCATAGATTTGAATTTCATGAATCTACAAAACATCCTCGTATGGACAGCCATTCGGGCAAAATTTAACAAAATTTTAAAAACAGACGTTGAAATCAAAAACAAACTCGAAAAAAAAACAGTCATAAAAAAAATGTACAAACAGACGTTAAAAAATTAAAAACAGGGGTCAAAAACAAAAAAAGACATAAAAGTAAAAAAAAAAACAGACGTTAAAATAAAAAAACAGATATAAAATTAAAAACAGTGGCCAAAAACGAAAACAGACTTAAAGAACGATAACAGACATAAAATTAAAAGAATAGACGTTAAAATAATTTAAAAAAAAACATCAAAAACGAAAACAGACATAAAATAAAAAAAAAAAAAAACGTTAAATTAAAAAACAGACATAAAAAACGAAAACAGACATAAAAAAACGAAAACAGACATAAAATAAAAAACAGAGGTCAAATACAAGTACGAAAACAGACATAAATTAAAAAAAAAAAAAAACAGACGTTAAAGTTGAAAAATAAAAACAGACTTAAAATATAAAAAAAACAGACATAAAAAATTAAAAACAGATGTTTAATACGAAAACAGACATAAAATTAAAATACAGACGTTAAAAAATTAAAAACAGAGGTCAAAAACGAAAACAGATAAAATACAAGAATTAACAGGTGTCGCCACTGCCGTTGCTGGATAACTCGTCTTATAGCAAACTCTAGGCACGTGCAAGCAAAGGGAATGCAGGAATAGTGGAATATTACAAGTTCACATCGGTTCCTCTCATATGTATAAGATACTGGATTAAAAAAACCATACGAGGTTTGAAAACGGATGAAATTAAAGACCGAAGAGAACTAATTAATACCAACTATTAACTGGTGACGACGAAAAGAATATGTTTATATCACAATCGTTTCACCGTTGTGAAGGCTACAAACTATACCGACGGGATAGAAATTCAAGTGGTGGAGGCATCTTATTACTCAAAGTGACTTACAAATCGAAAACATTTCACATGAAGTATTTATTGATGAGAAAAAATTGTTAATAATCGGTATTTACAAACCTCCATCTACAAATGACGGACTTTTCAGATAAATCTTCAAAAAACCTTGATCAAATAATTGTAAATTATGATAGCTATATTGTTTTTGGTGATATTAATTTTGACATTTTTCTAACTCATAATTAATTCAAAATTAAGTACTGATAATTCATTACAATTATATTAGATAACATCGTTTATCATTCTTATATTCTTCTAGTAGTCCGAGTTTGTTATAGTCTGAGTGTGTTATATGCCGAGTCTGTAAACTCGGCCAATACCAAAGTCGGCCCATAACAAACTCAGCCTATTACAAAATCGACCTCACAAATTCGGCCTATCCGACTATCACAAACTAGCAAATGCTTATGACATCAAAGTAACACAAAACACGCCACTTCAGCACTAAGGTGGCAAGATTACTTCATCCTATTCATTTATTAATAAAAATTGACATAAGGTAACAGGTACGTAAATGGGCTATCTCGCGGATTTTTATGAAAATTGCTCATGACTAAAACACGATGAACATATGAATATCGAAAAACTGATACATGTAACTGAAATACTTTCAGAGATATAGCAAATTAAATATCCGGAAAATATGTGTACTAATGAATAATATACATCGATGTAAATATCGCAAAAAAGTTCAGCAATTTGACTTTTAAATTTCTAATTTATCAAATGCCTGTCCTACGAACTCTTTTTAGAATTATATGTTATTGCTACTGAAATTTCCGTTTTATAAATAAAGAATTTATGGCGTCAACGAATTCGTTGTTCGAGTATAAATATTTGAAACTTCTACACATCATGAACAAAGCGCCGAAATGAAAAAGTAAGCGTGACGTCTTCACTGCATTGTGCAGTTAAGGGCATACGATACAGTAGCAGGGGCAGATAATAACGTTTTCAAAACTGTTCATGTTGTTTTCGCGACGTTGTTAATCAGAACGTTGTAATTTCGCGATGTTTCTAATAAGACCGATTACATTTCGCGACGTCGCTTTAGATGTAGTCACATTTGCGGAAAATCCACTGACGTCATAATCCCGATTGCGCGAAATTGAAAAAAGTACCTGCAATGAAAATCGGCCAAATCACGAGAATTGTTATATTTATTCATTAATGAGGAAGTCAACAATATTAACTTCGAATTGGAAAAAAATCAAATCCACATTCTTAACTTTGTATGTCTGTTATTTCATATAGGAAATGAATAAGAGATATGAAAAACATAAGACGTCGATGAGAGAGAAACCCAACTACACAAAAAAAAAACCCAAAACAATAAGTAATTTATATCGTAACTTCACCATTTGGCTAACAAAAAAACGTAATAAATAATGACAACGCATCTTACTGTTCCTGACTTTGAAAAGGTACAATAAAGAGTTTAACGACATTTTTAGAATTTAACCCGTGGAATATATATGTGTATGAAGAAAAACTGTCAGTTAAAATGACACAGTTATAAGCCCCGTATTATAGCCCAAAAACAAAAACGCACCCGTTGATGTGCTAAGCATATCCTCTATGTACATATTGAGAGAGAAAAATCGGCACACAGGAATTAGGTATTTGACAGACCAGAGTTGCAACTCATTGATGTTAAGTTACTGAACAATACGAAGTCTTTTTGTAAAGAAGTTTCTCAGATAAGAAACAAAATATTTGTTGGACCGGACAAACAATGTGGTTGCACTCACTCCTAGATTGAAGGTAAAATACAGACAAGTAATTCAATGATTATATGTACCGTAATAAAAAAAAAATACCCTGAAGACAAGCTTAGGTAACTTATCTATTGATACAGAATCATTAAATTTCATGCTCTTATATCGACTGCTGTATGAAATGTTATACTAGTACTACACTGTAATGGACTAAGCTGACCCGATTTAATGTGGGTATGATTTTGTGTTCATGTAATGCCTATAGAGTAGGTCGTTAGTTTTCTTGTTTGAATTATTTCACATTTTCATGTCGGGGCTTTTTAAAGCTGACTATACGGTGTGGCTTTTTTTTTTCTTTTTTTTTTTTGTGTTGAAGGCCGTAGGGTTACCTTTAATAGCGTTTATCTTCGTCATTTGAACTATGGTTGATAGTTGTCTCTTTTGCAATCATACCAAATGTCCTTATTTTTATATCATCCCCCTTACTTTATAATTGTTGCACATTTTGTCATGTCGGGGCCTTTTGAACAATTAAAACTATGTTCAAGCTGTGTTGTCTACATGAATTGTATGACTAATGTCGTACATGCAGAGATGCAAATTAATTTTTTTATTATATATATCTGTTTTGTTTCCGAACATGTCTTTTCTAAAAGTAATTTACTAGAATACTTTTTCTATCCAAGTTTCGTAACAATTCATAAAGGTTTGGCAAATATGATGCTATTTACGAGGAGCCAGCTTTATTAATTTTCATGATTAATATCATTGGTTTAAAAAAAACACCTTGGCTCTACCACTGAAATTGACAACGTAGTAGTGAACGGCGGGAAAGATTTCACGACGTTGTTGCGAATAAAACTTATTCCAACGTAGTTTGGCGCCTTATTGGCAAACGTCCCGTTTGCCAATAAAAATTAAGGTTTATTGCTTTTATTGAAAAAACAAGCACATGGACCCCCAGTTTTTTCTTTTGCAATCAATCAAGTTCTGTTTCAAGAACGCTCCGCCAAAATTTTAAGAAAAAATCAACGATAGAATTTTTTCTGCACTTCTGTGTAGACGCAAAAATATTTTCATCTTCTTTATTTCACTTGTATTAAAAGAATTTAGGATATAATTATTTATTTCAACCGTTAACTTGTTACAGCATGCTGATGCCATGGATCAAGGGAACATTTTACAAAAAACCCGGTTAAATTATGACTGTTCGTTCAAAAGTATTGGTACTTTCCTTAAAAGTCCTGATTTTTGAAATTTCAGGGTTTTTCCTTCAAATATGCAAATTTCGAACCAAATTATCTCAAAAAGTAAGTCATGAAGGTATATTTTTCTTTGCATATTTCAAAAGTACACATCGAAATTGACCTTCTACCAAAATTTCAAGAAAAAATCAACGAGGGATCTCTACTGTATCGTATGCCCTTAAAACATAGATTTCCTCTACATTTGAATGACTTATAAATAAAAGACGAATTCCGTGACCCCTATCAATTTTATATCAAAAATCTGAAATAAAATTGGCAATTACATATTATTTTTAAAGAAAACTCAAAGGAAAAGTTTTTGAGAAAGACAATCTAAAGTCAATTTATTTAATATCTTCGTGAAATGTATGTGCCTCCTTTACATTTGTACTTCTTTCTGCAAAATATTTAATTTG